ATTTCCTTTTCTATAATGTGTAATATATTTGGTAGAGTTGTTACTATTTGTCCCTTAAGTGTTTGCTCAACTTATAGTTGTGCTTTTGAAAAATATCTAAATTGATAATCTGTCTTTTACTTGGTATGCTAGACCATTTACACTGAATACAGTTATGGATATATTTGGATTTAGGTCTATATGATCTGGTGACTTCTCTACTTTTTCCTCGTCCTCCTTTTCCGCCATCTTTTGGATTTGAGGAAGTTATATTTCTTTTGAAATAATCTATTGCCTTCGCCTTCGCCTTCACCTTCTCCTCCTCCGCCTCCTCCTCCTCCTCCTCCTCCTCCTCCTCCTCCTCTCCTTCTCCTTCTTCTTCTTCGTGCTTGCTCTGGAATTGTTAGCTTCTCAAAACCCTCAGGTAGTTGCTTTTTGTATTTTGTTCAGAAATGGGTGGGTGAGATAGACTATCTTGGCTACTGCTCTTCTGTTTGTATAGAGATCTATTTACTTAACTGTTCTGTTCCAACAGGTGACTTTTGGATTCTTCTAGTCACTATCAGAAGACTTTGCATTCTATGGGTCAACTCAGCATACCTCCCATACACCTTCTGTTGACTTTGCTTTAAAGATTTATACTTGAAATCTTCCAAGAACTGCTGTTGGGCCTTGGAGCTACCTGTTGGTATGTAGAGCTGGAAGTGCTTGGGGGTCTACATCCTTGCTATCCTCAGGCAGCCTGTAGCCAATAACTGTCTAGTTGGAAGTACCTCTCTGCCATTTGCCCTTAGAAAGAACAACTCTTCTGTCTTTATTGTATATCTCTATTTCCATAATGTCCCCCCACTTTGGGAGTACTTATTTAACAAGTGACTCATATTCTAGTCCTTAATTAAGATTATTTTTCTCCTTTTCCATATTTGAGTTTAACCTTCTTGAGTTTATGACATTTATTTTCATATCTTCTATTTTTATGTAAATGTATTTATGTAGAACTCTATTGAATTTATCCCCCTGCTCAGGCTGTGTAGAATTCTTGTTTACATTTAGCCATACATATTTTAGTGTTTTTTTTTTGGTGATTTGCACTTTCGACTAATTTAGGAATCTCATTTCAAAATGTCCTATATTTTTCTCTTTTAATAGTTAGCTTTTAATTGCATTTAGGTCCAAAAATAATATTTATTGATATTTGATTTTTGAAACTTGTTGTGACTTCTGTTGTGATCTACGGTATAGTTGGTTATTTGTAAATCTTCCTTATTTTATTGAAAATAATGCACACTCTCTGTTGACTGCATTATTCTCTCTATATATCTATTAGATCAAGATTGCTGCAATATTCTACAGATTTCTGTGTCATAAGTAATTTTGTTTTTTTCTGCAGGAGCAGTTTCTAATACAGTGAGTTAGGATCTCCCATTCTGATTAGAGATTTATCAGTTTCTTCTTGTAATTCGGTCAGTTTTGCTTTGTGTATTTTTGAGGCTGTGTTTCTGTGAGGTACATAAAATTCATGACTGTTATATCTGCTCAGTGAGTCTTTTCCTTTTATAACTACATAGAGTTCTTTATCTCCATAAATGCTTTTGGCCTTAAGTTTGATTTTTATCTGCTACTAAAATTGCTGTCCTGTTCTGTTTCTGTGTGTAGCTGTCTTGTGCTGTTGCGATTGTTGTGCCAGCAATATTCTTTTTCATTCCTCTATTTTCAGGCTTTCTGGATTGTTTGTATCAGTCTGTCTTCTTAATCTAATGATTTGTAGCAAGCAGCAAATCATTAGATTAAGAAGAATCCAATCTGTGAGATTCCATGTTCTAATTTGCTACTTAAACCTGTTTACATTTATTATGAATATGAAATATTTACAATATGAAATTCATTCTATATGAGATAATATGAGAAACTTGAACTTTTTTATTGTCTTCTTTTATATGTTTACTGGCTTTCCTTTTCTCTCTTCAACTTCCTTTTTGTTTTATATTTGATTATTAGAGCTTTTTGTGATGCTCCTCTGTCAATTTGGAAACTGGAGATTTTATTTCTACTTTTATATGATTATCCTGATTTTTCTTCAATGTATTTTTGAATATTGTATTGCATAAAATTACAACAAAGCCCCCAAATCATCAGAATTCTCACCACCAGAAATTAATCACTTGATAGTTTCACATTTGCTTCCGGAAAATCATTCTACTGTTTTTATAGAAATCAAACATGCCTGTTATAAAGGATTCAAACAAAGCACAATATTTAATTTAGAAAGGTTTTAAAAAAACCTCATAAGTCCCATTTCCTTAAGGAAACATATTCTAGACATTTTCTATACATCTATATAATAATAGAAGGTAATATAGATATTTATAGATATTCACCTTTTAAAAATGTAACCATAAATGCAGAAAAGTAATATATGTATATTATTTCAAAATATAAAGTATTATATTTAATTTTATTAGAAAATTAGTACAAGAAATTAAATTTTCTAGAAATTAATAGAAGAAAATGGAACTGAACTTCAATTATTTTTAATATATAAAATAATATTTCCTAGAAGACTCCTTAACAATAAAAAGATTATGAATAATATCAGGGGTTTAGAGTCATTTTAGAAAAACTACTTCAAGTGTCATTCGTTTAAAAGTTTCAAATTCAGCCTATTGACTTCTTTTTTGAAAGGTGACTGGTGGACGCCTGGTCTTTTCCCTTGAGAGCTGTTACTTACAGTAACACTTTACCTTGTTCAGGTCAGTTAATTTCATGCTTAGTTCTGTAATCATAATTCCTCTAGTTACATAGTGTTTATCTTCATTGAAATAAATTCTCAGCTCATTTATAACTCTTTTACTCAATTCTTCAGTTTATGTTTATTATTATCTTGATTGTTCATCTGGTTAATTGGCTGGATTTAATTGTGAACAGTCTTCTTTCCCCATCCCCCGGAGAAGAGGCCCCTGTGTTCTATTTCTAGATGTATTTAATGATGGCAGAACGGATGCATCTTGCCTCCATGCATGAATGACCTGAGCTTGGTCTTTGCTCACTTTTTTCTTTCCCTCTGAACACTAAGACGTTAACATTTTTTGTCTGACTCTGCATATTACTGTAGAGAAGTCAGAACCTGCCTCAAATTTCCTGTCATGAGTGATTTGAGATTTCTGCTTCGATATGTAAAAATTTCTCTTAACTTTGAAGTTTAATAACTTAATTGCATGGTAAATGTCTTGTATTGAGATTTCAGTATCAAATTTTCCTGAAACACTTTGAACTTCTTTGTGTTGCTTTTTTTTGCCGGGGGTGGGGGGGTTCAGGTTCATTCATTGTTTTTTTCAATACAGGGAAAATTTCTTGCATTATATCTTTGAATACATATTTTATTCCATTTATTGGGTTTTCTTCTTGGGAACACCAGTTGTTCTTAAGATAAACTGTCTTTGTCTTTTTTTATAGTCAGTCTCTAATGGTTTTTAGTTTCTTTTTTTACATGTATTTATTTTTATTATGTCCATTATATACTGTATAATTTTATCTATGTCGGTAATTAGATTATCTATAGCATCTATTCTGTTTCTCTATAATAATGCTATTTGAGATCTAATTTTGTTTCCCAAGGTTTTTAATCTTTTTTTTGCCATCTCATTCTGTGCTTTTATCATTTCATCTTTGAATTTTAATTATACTGAATTCATGTTTCTATTAAATTTTTCTCTCATTTTAAGCAATTATGGTGATTTTCTTGTGTTTCTTGAGTAATGTCTTTGTCAGTTTGGATTCTTTGTCTCTGTGCTGTTGTGTTCCCTTCTCTCTTCTTTCTCTTTGGTGCTTTCCTGGTTTCCTTATGGACACATTTCATCTTGCTCACCTGTGGCAGCTCTGTTTGTGTACCCCTTTCTGCTCTCACCATTATACCTGGAGCCTCGTGGTGAGTCCTCTTAGCCACGGTGTGATGGCTGCACTGTTTGCCTTCATCTGCTGTGTCAGGGACAGTAAAGGGAGGCTGAGATTGCTCTTGAGGGTGTACAGGCTTGCATCCTCTCCTGAGATTTTATGGGGTTTAATGCACCTAGGCGAGAATGTGGACCATTTACTCATGGCGGGGATACCCTGGCCTGTGGGTCATTTCCCCATTCAGTAGGTGGCCCTGGAGCCTTCATTTCTATTGGAGTCTCAGCCCTGTTTGCTCTCCCAATCCTCCTCAAAAATATTTTTTCCATTCTTTTCAAGTAAGAAGGGGAGAAAAAAGTAGACAAAGATGGTTTTAGGCAAGGTTTTTTTTGGAAAATCCCCAGGATAAGGACAGGGATGCAGGTGATTTATTAAGGCAGCACTTCTAGGGAGACTGGCTTGAAGGTGGGATGGGAAGGGAGGAAGCCAGCAGGTGCAAACCCAGGCAGTGTCCCCAGACGGGGGCTCAGCTTACTCCACCAGGGAGCTCTGGAGTAGAAGCTATGCCTCCGTATTGTTTAGACTGGGGCCCAGGAGATGGGCCATCAGTGCCCAGAGAGTAGAGAGGGGGTGGAATCATATGTTAGCTGCACCACTCAGATCCTTTCACACTACTCCATACTATTATGGATTTATTAAGAGAATAATAGGTTATAATTTCTGGGAAAAGACTTAAAAGAAGAAGATGAAGAGGAAAAACCATGATCTTCTATACTGCGGTTGGCTGTGAGGCCATAATGGATACTCATAATCCCCATCCTCAGCTACCCTTTCTAGATTACCCTATGGAGGTCTTGGTGGCTTACATGGGCAGTCCCAAATGATCAAGTAGCAACTATACTTTTTAGTTTAGTGGGATTCTTACTGTGTCTCCTGCAGGCAACTCTTCCCTTTCAGTGGAATGAGACCTCTAAAGTAGAGGGACAGGGGTGGGGGCCACTGGGAGTAACAAATAGCTGGCCATAGACATTTCAATGTGTTATTTCTTGGATCCATATATTATCTATTGAAGGCAAAACATCATAAAATGTCTGTTTTAGAAAGCTTTTTCGCTGCTGTGATTAAAGGACTGACCAGAAAAACTGTAAAAGAGGAAAGCTTTATTTAGGGACTCATGGTTTTAGAGGTCTTAGTGCATAGAGAGCTGGCTCCAGATGAGGCAAAACATCATGGTGGAAGAGTGTGGCAGAGCGAAGCAGCTCATAGGGTGATCAGAAAGGAGAGAGCAAGGTCTCCACTTGCCAGATACAAATATATACCCCAAAGCCACACCCCCAATTCCCACCTCCTCCACCCCATATCCATACTCTACCACTTCATTTACCACTCAGTTAATACTTCTCAGAGGATTAATTCGCTGATTTAATTTAATTTAATTTAATTGTGGGTTAAGACTCTCATAATTCGATCATTTCTCCTCTGAACCTTCTTGCATTTCCTTACATATGAGCTTTTGGAGGATACCTCACATCCAAACCATAACAATGTCTTCTTAGTGTAGAGGTATATTCTGCGTCTGAAACTTATAGAATGTCACCTCCAAGCTAATGCCTCAAGCTGGCAACCCCTGGGTGATAAGGGACATGAGAGACCCAGTGGGCCCTGTGTCTGCCTGGACCTCACTTGTCACAAGTGAGTAACTTGGTGCAAGGCAATGCTATGTGGAATTCAATGGTAATAAATCATACATTGTTTCCTTTGGATAGGGGTCCAGGCCAAGACATTATGGGCAAAACCATACCAGAAACATGTATTAATCCCTCATAGGATAAATCACTGCTTTTTCCAGGGTGGAAAGAGTTGGATAAAAGTAACTTACCACAAATTGCCTTGTTGTTCTCCTTGAGATTGACACTTTATTGAAGGCCTCCGCTGACCAGCTGAATATTTACAGGGCAGGTATATTAAGGTGGTTGATGGTTGATGCTTTTGCTTGACACTTCCTGTCTGGGATTGTTCAGTACTCACCCTACAATGGCTGCTTATGGTGGGCACTGGCATGGGATGCATAAATCCATACCCTTGGTTCCCATAGTTCTGTCCACATGACTCTTGCCAAGATCTCCTTATTTTCCAATCTTGCTTTTATGAAACTGACCACATCGAGAAAACTGACAATTCACACTACCCAGGAATATATGTATATCCTTACCTTGAGCTATTTCTCTCTCCATGCAAAGAAGATGACCAGAGACAGCCTGAACTTGGAGGGCCACCCCTAAATGCAGTGCAGTGTAGTTGTAGTGTAATAGAAATTCACTCTCATCTTTCACTCCCATTATAAGTGGACCCTTCCTGGTTTTCTCTCCTCTGTCAGCTGGTTACAGAGATCACCTTCTCCCACCTCCAATGAGGTCATTGGTGTGAGAAGGATATGCATTTCCATAACATAGGTGGGAGACATGAAGGTTTGGGGTCACCAGTTTGTATGGCTTGCTTGTGTTTTTGGACTTGCATGTACTTGGTCCTGGGTTTATAGCCTCTGAAGATGATGGATTGTTGTGTCCAACCAATTTATGCCTTGTTGGTTCAGAGAGTACTCAGCTTGGTATGGGAAGCTCTGTTGGAGTAACTTGATATTCTATGGTCAGGAGTCCAACCTTTATGTAGTTTTTGCATTATAGAAGCTGATTCTTATATAGGAGATATTTTCTTAATGCAGCAGATAGCATAGCTTGATTCAAAATCTTAGACACCTGGGCTGTAACTCTCCTCCTGTGGCTGTCCAGAGACTCCACAATGACCGTAACTTTATCTTCCACAGGTATTTCTAGCACCATAAAATCTGCTGAATCATATGACTCAAGTGTCAGGTCTGCTTATACTATATCATAGACCTGCCACAGAGTCTTCTCTTACTCTAGACCCTACTCCAAATTTCTTGTTAAATGAGTCAAGCAGTATTCTGAGTGAAGATTGTGCTGTTTTCGGAACCTTAAAAGCACTGTGCTCTTCCTTGGTGGTTGGAGGGGTAAGTGGCAAAAATGTGCCCAAGACTACTGGGCCAGTGTGACTGTCCTTAGAATCTTTGTAGAGTATACCTTCCACACTCTGTTTGAGGAATGTGGACCTGTGTAATCTTCTGTGGGATATCCAGATCTTTGAGGTCACTTTAGGCTGTATTTGATGGAAGAAAGAAGGGTGAATTAATTCTGGAAAAAGCCATGGATGTATACAGACATCCATCCCATCTGAATAAAAACTGCCTCTGATTCTCCTTTCCTATGGAGATTTTTTAAAAAATCACTAGATCAATAGCTTTAAACTATATAGCAGAGGCTCTGTTGGTCTATTTTAGGCAAAGTGATCATATTTAGCAAGTAGCTGTGCTTAAGCTTTATAAGCGTGGTTAACTCTGAGGCAGTTCACCATCATCTACCATGATTCACGTGGATTTTGCAGGTTTCAAATGTGTAAATTAAATGGAGGAACATAAATGAACCCCTTTACTAGTACATTCTTCAAGTCTTTGTGAATAACACTCATCTTTCTATATCTGGAATATGGTATTATTTTTGATTGCTTGGGTCAAGGGATCTGGGGGAAATTTCAGGGCCTGGCCTTTCCTACTATGTTAGCTTGTAAGTATGTACGTACTAATATACATTCTGAACTGAAGAAGTGACCCACTTGGTGGATCTGTGGACCTACTGAACTCCCTGAGAAAGATTCCATTAATTGCTTGCATCCATACACCTTTATTCTTTAATGGAGGTGGAGGTGACTGTGCTTTGAATCCCCTGGTCAGATCTGATGCTGTATTTAACAGTATTTGAAAAATACAGGCTCCCCCCCTTTCAGGAATGTACTATTACTCAGCCCTGGGGTAATTGCTATTGTTTATGTTTCCTGTGGCTTTGCAGGATATTTTCCTCAAGAGAACTTCTCCTTTGATTGATGGCTCTAAGAACTGACATGACATGTAAACGCCCATTGGTGTGGTTAATCTCCATTTTATGCTCATTTTTATCCATTCTTAATCAATATCTTTGTCAGTCACACATATATCTTGCTCATAGATACACCATGGTGTGTTGGGTATTACCACCCATTCCTGTATGTCAATTTCTCCTGGTTGTCATCCTGACTTTAGTGTCTACCTTGCCTCCGATGATAAAGTGTTGCTCTCTGACTTCTGTTGTTTCAGAATCCTTCTGTCTTCAGGACGCTAGACAGCCTGGATCCATGACAAGATCAATTATCAGCAGAGAAAACAGCCACCACGGAGCTTCTGAATGCTGCCCAACTCTCCTTGATCCCCAGTTCTTCTCACCTCCCCATTTCTTACCAACTCCTCAGTGAAGGAAGTTTCTTTTGGATTCTCTTGAGGAACAAGAGAACTCAGATCTTATGTGATAGATCCATTATGAGACAGGCCCACTTCTCCAAAATCAAAAGATCTGAATTCCTTATCTAACACTCCAACCAGGCTGCTCTCATATCTCCAACTTTTCTTTATAGTAGGACATTCCCCCCAACAAGGTTCTAGGGGCTATTTAGGAGTTATTAGGGCTGGCTTCCAGTACCTTGACAAAGTTCTAATCCCTTATCTAGTTTTATATTCTGTTTGCTTTCTCATTCATCCTTGGTTCAACAACAGCAAGATCTGCTTCCAAGAAAACATTCCTGATTCCTATGTGTTCTTATTGATCAGGTCCCTTGGTGAATAGCCCATCTCTTCTCTTAGAAGGGCCAGCATTTTTCCAGTTGGATCCTGCTGAGAATCAATCCTGGTTATTGTTCTAGTGGCCAGTAGGGAAGGTGAGAGCGGATTTCGAGAAGACATTGTCTTGTAAGAGATTGGTCACCATTTAAATCTCTTAATATACCTTAGGCAGAGCAGTCTACTCTATTCTAGAAAGGATTACTAGAATACTTTTCTGTACTCTAGGCAGAGAGGGATCAGGGGAATCTGATGATTCAGTGTTTCCAGGTATACACTCAGATGTTTTTATTCCAAGTCTCAGGATCCCATTGTTTCCTCTTAAGACTTTGACTTTGGCATAGAGACCTCAGTTTTCTATGCAGTTTTGCTTCACTTATTATCAGATGCTAGGTCTCATCTTCAGCATGGTCTTCTTCCCTACTATGTGAGGAATGATCACTTTAGACATTGCTAAGGTCACCTTCTGACTATCAACCCTGCCTTAAATTAGTAGTTGGCTGACTTGTGTTGTCATTTCTGTCTTCAGTGCAGCCAGAGCATTCAACAGCATCCAATGAGTTATGTAGATTTTATAATTGCTACTTTATTCATATATCCCAAGTTCTAGATGTGTCCATCATCTAGTGAATCCCCTTTCACCTGCAACAGTTGGTCACATTTTTTCCTTAGCTACTCTTAATAAATTAGGGGCACAGTTTCAGTTAATGGGTTCAAATAGTGGTTTTCAGTAATGCCCCTAGCTCAATAAAAACACTCTTAGTCCCTACTACCCCTCACAAAGTGGTTTCCAAAGGTTCAGACACTGGAGTTTTGCCACTTTTTTTGGGGGGGATGGTACTAGAACTTGAAACCAGGGGTGCTTAACCATTTAGCCACATCCCCAACCTTTTTTATTTTAGGACGGGTTCTTGTTAAGTTGCATAAGATCTTGCTAAGTTCAGAGTTTGGCTTTGAACTTGTGATCCTCCTGCCTTAGCTTTTCAAGATGCTGGGATTATAAGCATGTGCCACCATGCCCAGCCTGCCTCTTTTTTTTTTTTTAAACTCATATTCTTTTCTTGTAATGTTTACCTTATTTTTGAAGGTAGTGATAAATTTTACAATTTTTAAAATTACATTTTATGTATCATACTGGCATGTTCTTGAAGCAGGGGTGGAACTTATAAACCAATACTGAGTAGTCTCAGTCAGTCTTTTCTATATCTATTTTTTAAAATAGGGGATGCCTTGAAGGTATCTAATACTTTTTTATTTAGTGGGGCGAGGGGACTGGGGAATTTAACTTAGGGGCACTCAACAACTGAGCCACATCCCCAGCCCTATTTTGAATTTTATTTAGAGACAGTGTCTCACTGAGTTGCTTGTCATTGCTGAGGCTGACTTTGAGTTTGTGATTCTCCTGCCTTAGCCATCCAAGCCTCTGGGATTATAGGTGTACACCACCATGTCCAGCTGAAGGTACCTAATTCTTAATTGTGCTTTTTTGATATGTAACTTTATCATTATCGTGGGGTGTTTTTTTAATACTATTTTTTGAGAACCTATAGGCCAGGCACTCTGCTGAGCATTTTACAAATATTATTTCGCTTAATTCTTACTGCATCCACTTTCATGGATGAGAGAATGGAGACTCTGAAGGTAAGCCAGAAATTAATAGAAAGCAAATGGAAAAGGAGGATAGAACCCAAACATTTTGTGACTCTAAGTCTAGTGCTCTTCCTACTCCTCTGTCTCTCAATTCATTCACTCACTCATTTACTTACTTGCTGTCTTGAATATCGACAGTGTGCTAATCTCTGTGTGTGGTACTTTCTAAGTGTGTTGGTGCTGAATCACTGCGGTTATAGTGGAATCCTTGAGTTTTTGAGAATGCCTGGATGGAGCCTGGGTTCTGGTAATTGGCAAGGGGTCAGGAGATGCTTTTTTGTTCCATGGACACTCATGCAAGTTAATTTAATGTTCCCTCTCTTGAGCCTGGGGCATGCCTTGGTGGAGTTCAGTATATTGTTTGCATTGAATCATAATAAGGTCTGTATTTGATTTTCAGCAAATATTGACTGAGGTCCCACAGAGAGCTCTCAGAGCTAAATTGGGGGGGGGCAACATCACTAATAATAGGATTTGTATACATAATTTCTCAAGTGAGACTCATGAAAATTTACCTGGAGCTATTGCTGGTGGAGTGAGACTTCTCATGCACAGGAGAGGAGATCATTCTCTGCAATTGTCTGGCGAGTACTCACTTGCTGAGTACCTTGCCTCATTGCCTGCAGATGGTGGAGTAGGCTGGAAGCACCCTCCATATAGTGAACCAAGACAGTCTGTCTTCATGGAGGGAAGAGGATGGTAGGCCTTGCTTTGGTGTGCACCAGGACAATGTTGGTGGCACAACTAGAAATCCAGCACTCCCAGACCTGGATGAAGAAGTAAGAAGGGCTGTAGTGGGTTGGTTGGTCTTGGGGAGGACTGTAAATACAATTTCATCTTTGGCTTCTTAACTTGAGTGTGGGGCCAAGGCAAATTTTGAGGTTAATGGAAACATGGTCTTTATAATTAAATAAAGGAGGAGAGAAGATTCTTCAGCTGAATGGAGCTCTGGGGAGGTGGCACAGTTGATGGTGCTTTGGTCTAGATGTCTAGATACCCAAGCCAGAGGAGGTCAGAAGAACTATAGGGACCAGGACCTCAGACCCACTCATTATCTGGGTGGGAATTTTTTTCAGAATTGATGGAAGATGTGTCAAGATTGCTTCAGAGGCATGTTCTAGCCCAGCATTTCACAGGCAGGCCTAGGCTGAGTCCTTTACTTCTCCAGGGCCTCCTAAGAAGGAGGACATACTGCCGGGCATGGCCTAGATAAGGTAAGTGGACCAAATGAATTTTTAAAGTAGTATAAGCCTACTTAATTATTAACTCTGTGGTACCGAGAAAGTTCTTTAACTTTTCTGGGTGTCAATATCCTCGGCTATAACATGGAGACAAGTTTAGTGATAGTCTCATGGTGTAAGTGGAAGGATTACTGAGATGCCAAGTGCAAAATTCTTAGCCTCCTGCCCGACGTAGAAGAAGTACCCAGTGAGCTCCAGTGGTTAGTTTCATTATTTTCACTTGTATTTCCTACGGGGTTTTTATATCGCATCATGACAATTGCATCGTCCCTCTTGTTTTCCTGAGAGGGGACATTGTCTCTCTATGGATCCTGCTACCTTCTTTCTGAGGACATCTTGGAAGTCTGGCTCTTGACACTGTACCTGGGAGAGTCACCACTGGTTTGGCCTTCCCACTGCCATGGAGTAAAGCTCTTTGAATAAGCACTGACCTCTCAGGTCTGCTGACTGCATTATTTGTAGATGCCATTTTTTCCCCCTATTAGTTGGTATTACAAGATGCTTAAAGGAGGTGCGTGTTGGGAAGTGAGCAAATCATCAACCAATGGCTGGCTGTGTTCTCATTCCCTGCAAAACCTTCTGCCTATGAATGTGTGTAACAATGACCAAGGCATTTCAAAGATCATACAGGGAACAGACATAATGGCAGTTAAGGGTTTTTGCATCAAGCAGATTACATAGAGGATATGTAATCCTCTATGGATAAGCCTGAAAATCAAAGGGCTTCTGAAGTTGGAGAGGCAGGGGGACTGAAGAAAGTATCAGCACATTGTCAGTATCCTGTAGCTGTTGCTTCCTAGGGAAAGGAACCATGTCTAATAGGTCAGCGTACCTGGGACTTGACTCTGATATCCAGAGATGGTACATATCTGCATGGATCTCTGGTGCTAAGTCAGATAATGGCCATCCCTTGACCAAGGGAAATATACTAAGTCTCTTCTGGTTACTTGTATTAAAATGCTTTCATGAGGCTACTTGGGTCTTGGAAGTGACCACATGGCCCAACATGCTGTGCACGACAGTCATGGTTCACCGTGTCAGAGAACTTACAGGAGGGGGCTTCTGCCACGAGATATATTGTACCTTTGGGTCAAGAGGGGAATCTACACATTGTCCTTTCTGGCCACTGATACCATGCCAACAGGCTTCTGATTGGAGAGACTGGGTATTGAGAGGATTGAGGAGGAAAGGGCCAGATGTGGCTGGTAACAGACCAGCCCAACCCTCCAGATGTGCCTGGTAACAGGCCAGCCCAACCCTCCAGAAATTTCTGTGGAATTCATCTTTAGATGCTTGAAGGAGGCTAGAACCTTGAGGACTCAAGTTCAATCACAATATAGTGTCCACAGTGGAGGGCTGGTGGCTGGTGATATCAGGATTGATACATAGGCTTGGTGCCGGAGCTATCTTTCGTTGGGTGTTACAATAAATGAATTCATTCTGTTTCAGGAGGTGGTCCACATAGGTGGTATTCTTTTTTATTGTGTGTGTGGAGGGGGTTGGTTACCAGGGATTGAACTCAGAGGCATTCAACCAATGAGCCACATCCCTTGTCCTATTTTTTATTTTATATAGAGCCAGTGTCTCAATGAGTTGCTGAGTGCCTTGCTTTTGCTGAGACTGGCTTTGAACTCTCGATCCTCCTGCCTTAGCCTCCTGCAGCACTGAGATTACAGATGTGCATCATTGTGCTGAGCTAGGCATTGGATCTGTTGAATACCAGAACAGGACCTTTCCCTGTCCCACCTTTGGTCACTGAATATGAGGGGATTCTGAAATACCAGCTGGGAGTTGGAACCAGTATCCCAGAGCATGTAGACTAGGAGCATTAGCTGATTTGAGCATTATATTCTGCAATCTGTTTCACCTGAGGCCCAAGAGGCTGAGAGAAGGAGAGAGGAAAAGAGGAAATAGAGATAGAGAAACAAAGAAAAGGGGAAGGGAGGGGAGGGGAGGGGAAAGGAGAGGAGAGAAGATTCAGGGAGCAGGGAGAAATGCTTTTGAGTCTTACTTTGGGACCCTGTTACAGTGGGGGGCTGGGGTAGGAAACTCTGTCCCTCATACCTCCTGGCCCAGGCCTGGGTTTTCATGGGTCCTGATTCCCAAGGTTAGATGCTCCTGAGACGGGGAAGAAGTGCTGTCAATAGAGGTGGAGCTGTAGGGGGGAGGATCCAGAGCTTTCACCCATTTTTTTGTGGTACTTTAGTAAAAAGTAATGGGGACAGAAGTCCAGAGGGTAGGGCTACCGGGACTTGGTGCTCTGAAGGATGTACCAGGCAGTTTTTTCCAGGTGTCCAGAATACAGATTCACAGAACGTGTTCAGTGAAGCCAGAGAAGACTGGGTTGAGATCCGTAAAACAGAACAACTTCTCACTGTAGTTGTGAATTCTGAGGCTCTTGAGAAGACAAAAGGCATCCCTCTAGCAGGTGAACAGCTCTGCCAGTTCCCACTCCCACTCCATCTTCACCATCAGCTGGGGGAGTGACTCTGTTTTACATAAAGAATTCCGTTCTGATCACAAACATTGATTGAGAACAGTAGCTGCTCCACGATGCTTGCCGAATGGAAATTGAGTGCATGCATGAATGAATCCACGACAATTGGAGACTTGTCATTAGTTAATCCATTTCATTCCACATGCACAGACCCGATGACAGAAAAGCCCAGACCCCGTGCTGTGGGCAGGTCAGGGCATGATTCTCTGACATGGGCCTTGGTTCTTGGGTGAGTGTCTCTCAGTTTGGCAAAGTAATTGAGGAGCTCTCTGAAACCTAAAGAGCCTGCATGCCTTTATCCTACTGCCACCTTCCTGGGAAATGGCTATTTTATTATGATGGGTAAGGTTCATGGCTGAAATTGCTGTCAGTAGGCAGCTGGAGCCATCAATGAAACAGAACCTGCACAAATAAGGACAAAGCCCCTGCCTGGGAAGGGGTGGGATAGGAGTGTCGGGGAGAAGGATGGTCTGGCAGCTGGGAGCTGTAGGGGGGAGGATCCAGAGCCTTCATCCATTTTTGTGGTACTTTA